TGTATTTTGTCAAAATATAATGTTGACATTAATCTGATAAGGACTGAATCTCTTCCTCAATCCGGTACAATGTCTCCCGTTGAAGTTCATCTTGGAACGCACGAAAAGATTCGTGGGTAAAAATCTCTGCAACATGGCTTTCAAGTTCGACCAGTTTTGTGATCTGAAAGGGCTTCGTCTGGGAACTTAAGTAATCCGCTTTCAACTCGTTCATACGCATTCTACTAATTCTATATTCAATTGCACGAACAACATCTAAATATATCTTTTTGTGTTTCAGTGCAATCGCTAGTGAAGCATTCATAGACTCGCACCTTTGTGTTGAGCGAATATTGGAAAAGAAATGACCGGTTAAATATGTTTGTGCCCATACGTGCCGAGTATTTCCCTTCTCAATCACCCATTGATGATTTTTGACGTTAAATTTTGAAACAACTGAACACCATTGAATATTGAATTCCTCAGTTGTCCACCAGGAAGCCATGCATTTTGAGAATGATGCTGTAAATTTTGGGTCACCAATGTTAGCTTGTGCATTGCGAGAAAGATGCCAAGAACATAATCTGTGCTTAGCATAAATGATAACAGATTTGATAGCCCTCTGCATTGCACTATCCCCATCAGTGACAACTGAAATAGGCGATTTATTCATCATGGCTTCTAAAAAATTCTGTAGCACCCACTCAAAAGATTGGGACGTCTCGTCAGCGATTATGGCAGTGGCAAACACAATTGTGTTATAGTGATGATTGACACCGAGAATAGGCATAATTGGTCGACCATACAAATTATCTTTGTACGTTGTGTCGAACGCAATTACATCACCGAAGTATATGTAATCTGATCTTGATGTAGAATCTGACCAAATAAGATTATGCAATGCCCCGGATTCATCTACCAAGTATGTCATAAAAACCTGGGATCATCATGTTTCTTATAATCAAAGTAAGCAATAAGCGCATTCACATCCCCATCGATAATTTCCTTTGCTTTACCTCTTTGAAGTGCATTGTAGATGTCTTTATGTGTAAATCCAACATTATGATATCCCCCTGCCTACTGCGTTAATAGTTCATTACTTGTGACGTGCCAACACTGACCTCTTTCAATGTTGTTACCTCATCGATATCAGCCTTACTTATAGCTTTATTAGAACGCATAAATGGTGTCATAGCAGGTATGCACAACGCATGATTATGTTTCTGATAAGACTTACTTATAACCCAATGATCGTTTGCATTTGTTACTGTAACTACGACTCTAGCCTTGCATCTTGTTCTTGTGACTGGCGTATGAGCACATTGATGATCAACAATATTAGCTTTTGATACTCGAAACCCTTCTTTAGAACAACAAAATTCTTGTGTCTTCAGATTCCCTTTTACGTCAAGCCGTGTTGTTCCCTTACGTGCACTAAACCCATGATCTCGTGCGAATCCCTTGTAAAAGTACCAAGTTTGATCACGTGAAGAGAATAGCTGACCAACCAATCTGTCAGATTCATTAACATTATGTACTTTATGGCATTCCTCGGTTGGCTTAACATTGTCTGCATCAAGATGATCCATGGCAAAAATTTTGTTGTGCAATTTCAGTGGTCCCGGAGTTGATGGAGATGTAAGTAAACGTTCATTCAACATGTTTCAGTCGTGCTTTCAATAGGATGTGGTATTGGCAGTAGTAGTTGAAGGGTTGGTACAACATTAAATTCGCGTGACATATTTAGGTGTGTACAATAACTACCTAAATATGTGTCGATACATTTTCTAAAAGTATCGACCCAAAAAACATCGAAACCAATAATTATAATGTAATAGGTAAATTAATAATGTAACCGGTATAAATATACCGGTTAATTAGAAAACATGTCAACATAATGTATCGACACTTGTGTAATTTGTGTCGATACTTATTGTCCAATAATTAAAATCGAAACCGATAATTATAATGTAATATGTAAATTTACAATGCAACCGATATAAATATATCGGTATAAATATACCGGTTTTATAAGAAAATAGGTCATCATAAAGTATCGACACTTATTAAATTTGTGTCGATATATTTTGTCCATAATGAATGTCAGACGGGTGCACTCATAAAATGTCGATACATTTTTAAAAAGTATCGATCCCAAAAATATCGAAACTCATAATTATAATATAATAGGTAATTTTGAAATATAACCGGTATATTTATACCGGTTTTATGTGATAATAGGTCAATATAAACGCTACCTATTATATTATATAAGCGCTACCTAATATGTTATTGTACTTGATAATATTTTCGGTTAAATTCCTATTTTATTATATAAGCGCTACTTATTACATTACATAAGCGTTACCTAATATGTTATTGTATTTGATAATATTTTCGGTTAAATAATATAACATAACCGGTCTAAACACTTATTTAACCAGTCACGTCGTATATTAGCCGTTTTTTAGGCGCCGCACAGCAGAAGTTCCCATCAGTCCATGGTACTACATAATAAATTACAATTATTATTATTATTATTGTTGTTGTTATTATTATTATTATTATTATAAAATGTAGTCATCATACGGTTATAGAAACCATCAATTTTTAGGGTAAATCATTGAGATAGTCGCCTAAATATTAGTGTTCTTTTATATTGATTACCGAATTGGGTTTTTTTTTTCTGATTTGGTCGTTAGCATTACAAAAGATCATCATTTTGATCACTCAACTTTATATCAATAATGATGATATGTATTATTTTTAATTGGATAATAATAATTTTAGCCTTTAATATTATACACTTTATCAGTTTAGTTATAACTTTAAATAATTCAATAAACTCAATCATTCACATTTACTGATTCTATCAATGTAATCTTCCAATATATCGTTATTGTGATCACCATCATCTTCGTGTACATTTCAAGAAAATCAAGGTATTTCCCCATCAAATTCACTTGAAGTTTGAAATGACCACTTTACTTCTTTCATTTTTTTATATTTTATTCTTATCATTCCTTTAGGGCGTGTTTGGTTGGGGGAATGTGAGATTATCGGGAGAATGAAATTCACATTCCCTCATTTGGTTGGCCGGTAATCTCATTCCCGGTAATGTTACATTACCAACAGTGGATTTTTTGGGGTATATTACCGGAAATATCATTACCCCTTTCCCTTATGTATTGTTGGATTACCGGCGTTTTGAACTAAAATACCCTTAATTTTTTTTTCTTCAAAAATATTCTTCTTCTATAATTGAATAATAAAAAATCTACGAAAGTTAAATTACAAATTTATCCTTAAACTATTTTAGATTTATAAAAAAAGTCTATAATTAAAATTTTATATGAAGTTCAGGGGTTAAAATAAAATTTTACCATTTCATTAAACATTTTTATATTGTCAATTTTGTAAAAAAATATATATATAAATTTTATGAATTTAAATTTTTTAAAGAAAATATATAAATATCTTATAGTAATATTATAGTAGAATTCAACTTGTTAAAAAACAAATATATAATAACGACAATTTGATCAAATATACATTCCAATAATTTTTTATTCCTTTAATCAAACACGTTAATCTTACATTCCTGCTAAACCAACCAAACACAAAATACAACATTCCAGTAATCATATTCACTGATAATCTTTTATTTCCACTGGTAATCTTACATTCAGTGAACCAAACACACCATTACTTTTTTTTTTTAATTCCATTCATTTTCTCATTCTTGATGTCCTCTTCTGCCAAACTCTCTTTTCACTCTTTACAATATTCAAACACCAAACAAAAAATAGAACCAAGTATAGCACGCCTAATTCTAATATTCAAAACTTATCCGAAATCAATCAATATAAATCTGAAAATGGATTCAATTAATTAGAATTCAAATTTCATTTCTTTTTAATAACTTGTTTGTCTAGTTAATAATTTAGGATTATGAATTTGATAAATAATGAAAGAATTATTATGGTAAAGTACTAAACTAAATTAAATGCATAGAGTAAAACCGAAACTATTTTAAAAATTATTATTTTTATATATTCAAACGGATGCTAGCCATCCTCTCTATATATAAAAAGTATTTTTTGCAAACCTAAAATTCTTAGTTTTCCGTTTATGAAAATTCTCTCTTATTTAAATTTTGATTTACCTTAAATAAAACATGTGATAAATCAGTTAAAACATATAATTATCATAATTATATATTTTAATTATTAAAACCGAAAATTATAATTATTTTATAAGCTTAAAACTCTTAGTCTTTTAGATTGGGTCAAGTCAATTGACGGCCCAAAGAATCTAGCCTCCCCCTAATATTTGCAACCATTCACGATTAATTTATGCAAAGGTAAACTACTCGAAAGACTACTTAATTATAGGGATGGTGTCAATATGAACACCATACTTTTAATTTTGTCAATTTGACCGCATAATTATTTAAATGGTTCCAAATTAAACCACATGTTGTTAACAATTAATTGAAGTACTGATCTGGCAGTTAACAATTAATTTGTGTAATTATACACTTAGTCCTTAGTACTTACATATTCTATCAATTTATTACTAGTGAAATGTGTCACAATAATCTGTTTACACGTGACAACTCTTGATTGTAGAGTTAATTTTTTTGAATAAAATTAAAATTATGACTAAATGCATAAAATATGTAAGTACTAAGGATTAAATGTATAACTATGCTAATTTTGTTCAACTGTCATGTCAACACTTCCGTTAAATGTTAATGGAAGGTGAATTGATTGAAATCACTTAAATAGCTATGTGGTCATATTGAAAAAATTGAAAGTATAGTGGTCATATCAATACCAACCCCATATTTAAATGGCCATTTGAGTAGTTTACCCTTGCTTAAATTAATTGTGAATGGTTGCATAGCTAGATTCTTTGGGCCGTCAATTGGCTTGACCCAATTCATCATCTCATTGGAACCAAAATGACTAGATATTCTATTCTTCTGTAGGTGATTGTCTTAGTCAGTGTGTCTTCTTTGCTTCTCATTTTTTCTTTAGAATCGGTTCGATGCTCAAGTTAGGTTTTATAGTTTTAGTTCCGATACTTGTTGGATATTTCTACCGAAACTTTGTTCCTCTCCTCCCCAATACCTGCTTATTAATTTTATATTCCACTGTGGTGGCAGTCGCCGTAATTTCTATGGCTTTTTGTGGCATTTTCGGTAGTTTACCTCTACATATGCTTCCTAGAAAGAGAGCTTCTACCGATGAAGTAGTTGCTATAGAAGCTGACCACGAAACCTCCAGCAACACCAACCACAACGGTGCAACCGCATCATCATCCTTCAAGAAGCACCGCCTTGATAGCTGCACCATCGCCGGCGGCGGTAACGAATCAACGGCTGATAACGGTGGTAATAGTGTAATAATAAGAGGTAACGGAGATCGGAGTAATAGTAGGGTTGTTGAATCTTCACCGTCGATCATGGCTCTTGGCGATGCGAATCATAATGAAATCGATGAGGATCTCCATAGTCGGCAGCTTGCCGTCTATGGCCGTGAGACTATGAGGCGTCTTTTCGCTTCGAATATTCTTATTTCCGGGATGCAGGGTCTTGGTGCTGAGATTGGTATGAATTTTAGAAACTTATATACTTTTTTTTATCTTTTATGTTTCCGTAATCCGTTAAATGTTTTGGATCGTTTCAGAGTCATGATTGCTTTTCCTTTGATCAAGATAGATCCGGTTGTATTTCCATGGAATGGGTGTCCGGAATCATGAGATTTGAAAGTTGATTAGATTTTTGATGAATCGATCTTTAGGTTTCCTTTAAAATTTGTTTTGTCTTGTTTATGATGATTTTATTTGATTGGTCGTTTCTTTCTCTGAATTTTCTTGTCCAAACTTCGGTATTTGGATTGCTAAGTGGTCGTTAAAAATTTTGAGCTTAAAAATTATTTCAGAACTAATAAATCTATGGTCTTTTATGAAATGCATGATTCCCCAGCCCTGTGTTTAAAAATCCTTTTTACCTTGTATGATGTCTATATTAATGATGGATTGAGTGTTGATGTCCTAGATTCGTTTGGTGCGTTTTTCTTGCAGCCTCAGGGCTGATATTCACTCTTATACTTTTATTTATTCTGCTTGTGCAGCAAAAAATCTCATTCTCGCCGGTGTCAAGTCTGTGACGTTGCATGATGAAGGGGATGTGGAGTTGTGGGATTTGTCCGGTAACTTTGTGTTCTCTGAGAGTGATGTTGGTAAAAACAGGGCTCTTGCCTCTGTCCAAAAATTACAAGAGCTTAACAATGCGGTGATCCTTTCCACCTTAACAACAAAATTAACAAAGGAACAACTTTCTGACTTTCAGGTAATTCCTTGTCGTTGGATCTCCTAATTTATAATTGCTTACCATTTATATTTGAAGTATTAAAGGTTAACTGAATTCCGAATTGCTCCCTTATGTTTCATATGAAACCTAGAGAAGTAATGCTGAAGCTTGATTATGTCATCTCAAAATTCCACCATTTAAATCTAATTTAGTAATAAAGCTAAGTTCACGGACTTTTAAGCTGGTAAAAGATGGGATGTAGAACAGAATCTGGGAAAGTGTGTTTACAAATGTGTTTGGAATTTGATCTAAAATCTCGCTCTATATTGCATTTGTATTTTTGATGATTTTATGTTCTCTGGATATTTCAGCATATAACTAATCTTCGTTGCTGTTTTGTCCAGGCTGTTGTATTTACTGATATCAGTCTCGAGAAAGCCATTGAATTCAATGATTACTGTCATACTCATCAGCCTCCCATCTCTTTCATCAAGGCTGAAGTTAGAGGTCTTTTTGGTGCTATATTTTGTGATTTTGGACCTGAGTTCACTGTAGTTGATGTTGATGGAGAGGATCCTCACACGGGTATAATTGCATCTATTAGCAATGACAATCCAGCACTTGTATCATGTGTTGATGATGAAAGGCTTGAGTTTCAAGATGGGGATCTTGTTGTCTTCTCTGAAGTTCATGGGATGACGGAACTAAATGATGGAAAACCAAGGAAGATTAAGAGTGCAAAGCCATATTCATTTGTTCTTGAGGAGGACACCACTAATTTCGGTACATATGTAAAAGGTGGTATTGCTACACAAGTGAAACAACCGAAGGTATTAAATTTTAAACCATTAAGGGATGCTCTCCAGGACCCTGGTGACTTTCTGCTGAGTGATTTCTCAAAGTTTGACCGTCCTCCTCTGTTGCACTTGGCATTCCAATCATTGGATAAGTTTGTCTCTGACTTGGGACGCTTTCCTGTTGCTTGTTCAGAAGAAGATGCTAATAAGCTTATTTCTATTGCTGGTAACATTAATGAGAATTTGGGAGATGGAAGGGTGGAAGATATCAACCCAAAACTTTTGCGACACTTTGCCTTCGGTTCCAGGGCTGTGCTAAATCCAATGGCTGCCATGTTTGGTGGAATTGTAGGACAAGAGGTTGTCAAAGCATGCTCTGGAAAGTTCCATCCCCTCTTTCAGGTTAGTGTTCATTATTCCTTTACCGAATTGCTTTTATTTGGAATGGATTATTTAGAATCTCTTCAACTCACCCTTGGTCATGAACATGTATTGTGTGAATTATACGTGCTTTGTGAAATTCTTTTTGGGTACAAAATTAGAAGGTTAAATTTTTTTGGTTTCGTCATATAAGAGAAAAAAAAAAGGAGTTTATCAGATTAGCAATTTAATCTGAGTCTTCTGCAACGAAAGGAGTTTATCAGATTAGCAAATTAATCTGAGTCCTCGGGAACGAAAGGAGTTATAGGTAACAATAGTATGGAATACCTTAATTTGTAGCTCAAACATCTAAATGAATCCATTTAACCTCCCCATCTTCCTCTTTTTTATTATTGCCACAGATACTTGAAAAAAGAGTTGCTGAATTTTTCTTTACAGTTTACTGACACTCATACAACTCCCCCCCCCCCCTTTTCCCCTCCCGTTCTACTAATTTTCTATCATTTGATTCTTCAGTTCTTTTATTTTGATTCTGTGGAGTCACTGCCAACCGATCCTGCAGACCCTAGTGATTCCAGACCATTGAATAGCCGTTATGATGCACAAATTTCAGTGTTTGGATCCAAGTTTCAAAAAAAACTGGAGGATGCTAAAGTATTTATAGTGGGATCTGGTGCACTAGGTTGTGAGTTCCTAAAAAATATTGCTCTGATGGGAGTTTCTTGTGGTCACCAAGGAAAACTGATAATCACTGATGATGACGTTATTGAGAAGAGCAACCTCAGCAGGCAGTTTCTTTTCCGGGATTGGAACATTGGGCAGGCCAAATCCACAGTTGCTGCTTCTGCTGCAGCATCAATAAATCCTTCTTTACGGATTGAAGCTTTGCAAAATCGCGTGGGTCCCGAGACTGAAAACATATTTGATGATACCTTCTGGGAGAATTTAACAGTGGTTATTAATGCATTGGATAACGTAAATGCCCGGCTTTATGTTGATCAGAGGTGTTTATATTTCCAGAAGCCACTTCTCGAGTCTGGAACTCTAGGTGCTAAATGCAACACGCAGATGGTTATCCCTCATCTAACTGAAAACTATGGTGCTTCAAGAGACCCACCTGAGAAACAAGCCCCGATGTGCACTGTGCACTCATTTCCTCACAATATTGACCATTGTTTGACATGGGCTCGGTCTGAGTTTGAAGGTCTACTTGAGAAAACTCCTGCTGAAGTGAATGCTTATCTGTCCAATCCGGTGGAATATAAAGATGCACAAAGGAATGCTGGCGATGCTCAGGCAAGAGATAATTTGGAGCGAATTCTTGAATGCCTTGAAAAAGAAAAGTGCACGACATTCCAGGATTGCGTCACCTGGGCTCGTCTAAGGTATTTCTTTTGATGTTTTGATCTAATTAAATGTGCATTATTGAAGATGGTGCTTTGTTGAATTTGTTTCTGACCTTATCCTTCTTTCTGCTCAGATTCGAAGACTATTTTGTGAACCGTGTGAAGCAACTGATTTATACATTTCCCGAAGGTGCTGCAACCAGTACTGGGGCTCCCTTCTGGTCTGCTCCAAAACGATTCCCTCAGCCACTTCATTTCTCAGCAGCTGATCCAAGCCACCTGCAGTTTGTTATGGCTGCTTCTATCCTTCGAGCTGAAACATTTGGCATTCAAATTCCTGATTGGGTTAAGCATCCAAAGATGTTGGCAGATGCCATTGACAGAGTGCCAGTTCCAGATTTCCAACCGAAGAAAGATGCAAAAATCGTAACAGATGAGAAGTCTACTACTCTCTCTACTGTATCCATCGATGATGCAGCAGTTATCGACGAACTCATCTTCAAATTAGAACTTTGCACAAAAAATTTGCCTCAAGGGTTCAAGATGAAACCTATACAGTTTGAAAAGGTTTGCTGTATTTATTGTTCTGATTGTTTAGCTTGTATATCCTTTGGGCATGCTTTTCACTTTTGAAACTTATGGAACTGGAACAAATGCATTTTAAAAAATAATAATTATAATATTGACTTGTGAATTTGCAGGATGATGACACAAACTACCACATGGATCTAATAGCTGGGCTTGCAAATATGAGGGCCAGGAACTACAGCATTCCCGAGGTCGATAAGCTCAAAGCCAAGTTTATTGCTGGAAGAATCATCCCTGCAATTGCTACTTCCACAGCAATGGCCACAGGTCTTGTCTGTCTGGAGCTTTACAAGGCTCTTGATGGAGGCCACAAACTGGAGGACTATCGCAACACTTTTGCAAACCTTGCACTGCCTCTGTTCTCTATGGCCGAGCCAGTTCCACCCAAAGTCATCAAACACGGTGATATGAAGTGGACTGTTTGGGACCAGTGGATCCTGAAAGACAACCCAACTTTGAGAGAACTCATCCAATGGCTTAAGCACAAGGGACTGAATGCCTACAGCATATCGTATGGAAGTTGCTTGTTGTATAATAGTATGTTCCCTCGGCACAGGGAGCGAATGGACAAGAAGGTTGTGGATCTAGCCCGGGAAGTGGCCAAGGCTGAACTGCCTCCAAATAGAAAGCATCTGGATGTCGTCGTGGCTTGTGAGGACGACGACGATAATGATATTGACATTCCTCAGGTTTCTATCTACTTCAGCTAAGGTTATTCTTTCACCCTGCTGCTTCGGGTTGTGTGGTCTACAATGTTGTTATGAGTGAGCACCCAAGATGGATATTTTTCACAATAAATTCTTCATCGCAACTTGAGTTAATATGATGACCTTCCCTATTTACTTGGTTTTCTTCTTGTGTGGCGATCTCGTCAGTCATCTACTGGGAAGATGCCCGTAGATTGCTTCTATTTGCATCTAGAAGTATATTTATTTTTAGGCTTAATATATATTTTCTCCTCGTATTTTACCTAAATTTGCAATTTGACCTTTATATTAATTATTTTCCCAGATTGGCATTGCACTATAATTCTATCATTTTATCCTATTAAGCATAGGTGTGGTCCATTTAGAGATTGACGCATGTAATTAAAAAGCAAAAAAGAAACTAAAAATCTTTTAAAACTAAAAAAATTAAATAAAATTGTTGATGTAAAAAGTTGGAATTGGAAGCTGGTGATTCTAGGTGGTTCACCTTGTTTAGTACGTGATAAAATTATACGTTGTGGCCATAAAAGATACTATTGATACAAAGTTGGAATTGTACGTTGTTGCCCTATCTTGTTCTTTTTGGGTGCAAACTTAGATATCCTCGGTCCACAGTAAACTTACAAGGATTAATCCTCATCGGACAGGAAATGGTTAAATAAAAAACACCCAATAAACTTTTCGAATCGAGTTTATGCTATACTCGAACTCGGCTCGATCGTTTACAGCCCTACTTCTGCCCCTTCAATTGTCTAGAATCAATCGATTTATTTCACCACGATCAGTTACATTTTAAGCACTGTTTCTAACAAGAAAGTATGGTTTTGAGCCATTTAAAACAAAATGTTTCGTTTTTTGTTTTCTTCTGTTAGCTACATGATGAATGGAAAAAGGATTAATTATTATGAGCGCTTTCATCAAATGCAGCAGAGTTAACAGCTCGAAAATCCAGCTGCTTCTGATGCTTTTTGGGCGCCGGCGTTCATCGAAGTCATCCCGCCCTTCAAACTATTCAAAGGATGGTTTTGATTAGGACATCCAAAATGACTTAACAACAACAACGAAACCCTATTCCCATATGCAATGGGATAAGGGGGAGGTAGAGTAGTAGGCTGCCCCCAACGCCAGGTTGAGAGCAACTTCCGTGGAAGACCTCCGACAGTCATAAAAATTACAAATAAAAATAAAATGCAACGCATGTATAAATAAATAAATAAATAAATACATAGTTGACCGTTTTTTTTAATAAGTAGTCTTCTTATGCGTTTATGTAATGGGAAGTAATCCCTACAAAAAAATCCCTGCAAATAAATCCCTACATAAAAATCTCTGCAATATAGACAGAAACGTAAGATCCGACTAAATTTAAAAAGAGGAAACATGAAGAGAATGATATACAGAAGTCAACGATAGCAAGCTACTAGAAGGAGTAAAGTCAAATGTGTTAAAACCTAAACTAAGGCAACACTATTCTGCTACCCTAGATCTAAGCCTTCATAAATTCCACTGATAGAAACGTGAAGAAAGTAGAAGTCAGTGAAATTACTACAAATGCATTAAAAAGAAGACATAGATGTTATAACCTATGACGACCCGCACTACTCGGCTACCCTGGTCTTAAGTCTCCATTCTTTCCTATTAGAGGTCAGTAAAGGTTAAATCCTTCAAGTCAGATCTCAAGCAGTCTTCCCACTTCCGCCTTGGTCGTCCTCTCATTCTGGCACCATCGACTGTAATCAACTCTACCCTCCTGACCGTATCCGACGATTGTCACCTAAGGACATGCCCAAACCACCGTAGTCTTCACTCCCTCAATTTTTCGGATACATGCACCACCCCCAATGACGTCCTAATAGCAGAGTTTGGTGTCATGTCCCACATAGTCCTACCACATGCCCATCAAAGCATTCTCATTTCTGCGGCCTCAATCCTCCTTACGTGATCCTTCTTGATTGCCCAACATTCTGATCCATACAGCAGTGCTGGTCTTATTGACATTCTATAAAATTTTCCCTTAAGTTTTAGAGGCATCTTATTGTCACACAAAACTCCAGTAGCAGCCCTCCACTTTAGCCATCCCGCCTTTATACGATGTGTCACGTCATCATCAACACCCCCATCTTTATGTATCATAGACCCTATGTACTTGAAACAATCCTTTGAGGGGAGAACGTGTCTTTCTATGCAAACTTCTACATCTTCATCGTTTTGTTTCCCACTGAAGTTTGAACATAAATACTCTTTCTTTTCAATATTGATCCTTAGACCTTTTTCTTCCAAAGCAGTCTTCCAAATAGCTAGTCTATTATTCAGCTCAGTTTTTATTTCAGCAACTATGACAATGTCATCAGCGAAAAGCATACACCATGGAACACCGTCTGGTGTCGCGCAATAGATGTCGTCCATAATCAAGGCGAATATGTAAGGGCTAAGAGCCGACCCCTGGTGGAGTCTGATTTTCAACGGGAATGCCTGGGTATCGCCAACTGTAGACCTGATGTATGTAGTAGAAATACAGTACATATCACGAATCGCCCGGATATAAGCAGTTGGGATCCATCTTGTTTCCAAGGTCTTCCAGATCGTATTGCGGGGAACGTTATCATACGCATTCTCAAGGTTAATGAACGCCATATGAAGATCTACATTTTTTCCTTATATTTCTCCATAAGCCGTCGAAGTAGATGAATCGCCTCCGTAGTAGACCTGCCTGACATAAAGCCAAATTGGTTTTCTGAAACCTTAGTTACATGTCTCAACCTAGCCTCTATCACCCTTTCCCATAGCTTCATGGTATGGCTGAGTAGTTTAATACCTCTGTAGTTGCCACAACGTTAGGGATCTCCTTTATTCTTATAGATTGGTATCACCGTAAACTCTCTTCACTCTTCTGGGATCTTGGCAGTCTCTAAAATAATATTAAAGATGTTGGTCAACCACTGAACTCCATCTTCTCCTAGGGCCAACCACCAGTGATGGGAATTTGATCTGGATTGACAGCTTTGTCCCTCCCCATCTTTTTAAGAGCCATTTTGACTTCATCAAACCCAATCCTACTTGTAGGGCAGACATTGCACATCTAGCTCAGTTGGTAGAGCACAAGGCTCTTAACCTTGTAGTCGTGGGATCGAGTCCTATTGAGGGCAATTCATAACGGAAGTCTTTCACGGAAGCTATTCTCAACCTGGCGTTGGGGGCAACCTACTACCCTACCTCCCCCTTACCCCATTATATATGGGAATAGGATTAGCTAATTTAAAATGACTCAAACCACAAATAAGGTCATTATTACCTAGATGTACATGTACACAACTGACGTAGGACGTCCATTGTGATTTCAGTGTTATAGAGATCCAGTGTTGCGAGCTGAATAATGTACTTCAAAGATGTTAATTATTACCGAGATGCAACGCCTGCAGCCACAGTAAAGACAATACGGTAATGCACGACTTAAAAGAACATGTTTTAAGGGATTTGACATTAACATTACAATTACTTCACAATGGAAACGTAGTCAAATTACAAGTAATATAAGGAGTAACCTAAAGATTGATGGATACAACTGTTAAATACTTCAAAGATGTTAATCCTTCCCACTGAAAGGCTTCATCTTAGAAACCATTTGCATCAAGGAACAGTTTCTACAAAGTGTTGAGATTCAAACACTAAATTGTATAAAATAATATACAACAAGTTAACCATGTATCTCAAATGAAATTCCTGGAACACAAAGGGGAAAAATGTTCAATTTACCTGAATGGAATTCAAACAGCTGATTTTGTTCGGTACATCATGGATGTTGTTGTTATTGACATCCATGACTCTTGCAGACGATCCACAATCCCATATTTCATCAGGTATGACTTTACAAAATCAAATCAACAAAATAATAAATTGGAAAATTTTAAACATAGGAACCTGACTTCTTCAAGCTATTAAGTAAATAAATGGGCGAAAAACAACACTTAAAAATATGAAAACAAGAAAAATGGTCGACTGACTAAAGCAATGCCCCTAAATCATCACAAAGATACCTTCAAATTGCAATCAGCCAATGCAATAAATCCAGTAGCCTTCCATCGTTCCAAACGACTCTTATCCATAATAAAATAGTTACGAGAACAGAAAATAAAACATGGAAATCTGAAAAGTAAAGATTATCCCTTCTCTTAAATCATTCATCATCTTCCATAATTGATGGTCTCTGTTTTCATCTAACTAAAAGTAAGAATGACAATTTAAAAATGTTTATAGAGAGAAATCAAAATATTGGTTAATCTCGAAGTGCTCATTGTGAAGAGCTCGAATCACATAATTTTATCTTAAAACCAAAGAAGATGAAACACATTCTTTAACCAGAAGACTCCAACAATCTTGTATATTCCAGTTCTAATTGCATCATGGCTTCTTTGAAAAGAACACACACCATGTTGTTTACTCCCTTGCCATTAAGGCAAACAAAGAACATGTTGTTAGATTTATGTGACATGAATTTCGTTTTGTTGAACTTGAATTGTGAATGAACTCTAGATTTATTATATTGTAAAAGTGGCATACAATACAAGGCAAACCAGACTTAGTTAAGCAACACAAGAGAACATGCAGTTACACGAGCTAACCTGTAACAAACTTACAACTGTATAACAACCCTCATAACAACCTCATAACCAATCAGTCTTCAGCCTTCTATACTACAATATGCTCTCTACTTCTTCCCATCTGAACACCTTCACTTTCTATCGAAATCCAGGATAAGAAACCGTGGACAAAGGTTTCATGAATCCATCAGCAATTTTATGCTGAGTAGGTATGTAATTGACAACCAGAATCCCGTCTGCCACCTTTTCACCAACAAAATGAACATCCAGCTCAACATGTTTGGACCGCGTATGAAAAACGGGATTTGCACTCATGACAACGACGCTTGTATTATCGCTCCAAATAACTGGTGGTTCATTTAAAGGCACACTCATATTAGTCAACAAAGCTCGTAGTAAGATAACTTCAGATGCAACATCGACTATTCCATGATATTCAACCTTGATTGTAGAACGAGACACAGAGCGTTGACGCTTAGAACTCCAAGAAACCAAATTTCCTTAAAACACACAGTACCTACAGACATACTTTCTATCATTCAAGTTACTTGCTCAATCCGCATCAACAAAGGCTACAATCTTAAACATTGCATCAGTGCTGTAAAAACAAGATCATAATCTAACGTACCAATCGAATAACGCAATATCCTTTTCATAACTGCCCAATGAAGTTCACAAGGTTGATGCATGTATTGAGCAACCCTATTTAGGTTAAAAGAAATATCATGACGCGTATGGCTGAGATAAAGAACTATACTTTTGAAAAATAAACAAATAGAGAGAAAAAACGACCAAATTGGGCAAATAATCCACCCGGGGTGGATTATTTGGCCCAATAGGGCACCCAAACTTTTAATTTGGGATCTAAGGCAATTGCAACAGTCCCCGTGGAACTCGTCAAACCGACGTGACGAGTTCCATGGGATATAATTTTTAATGGGCCGTATTAGGTGGGCCCTACAGCCAGAATAAATTTAATATATCTTGAGGGGCTCGTCACGCCAATAAAAAATATTTTTTTCTAAAATTTTTAAAAGAAAATTAAAAAAATAATATTTTAATGCCCATGGAACTCATCACGCCGGTGTGATAAGTTCCAATGGGTATACTTTTTACTTTTTTTGACCGTTAGATTAACCTTTGTTCAACGGTCGATTTTTTTTTTTAAAATTTCAATGGAACTCGTCACGCTGGTATGACAAATTTCAACGGGAAAAAATATGTATTCCCTTTAAGTTATGCACATCATCTTCAATCTCTTACATAACACACTTCTTTCATCTTCAATCTCTTACACAACAAACTCTTTTCATCTAACCAAAAAACATTTCAAACAATGAGCAACAAATTCTTCACAGTTGTTCATTATAATGGAGAAATTCTACAAACTAATGTTGGTGTTGTGTTTAAGTCAGACAAACAAATCAATATGATGTTTCCTGTAGATGTATCTCATAGCCAAATGAAGCAAAAAATTGAGAGAAAACTTGGAGTTTTTTGTTTCATGTTTAAGTTATCGGCACATGATCTCCTCAAATCCAATGACATATGGAAAAGTTCAGCTTGATGATGATGACGATGTTGCTGTTATGGTTGGACTTCATAAATCATAAAATAATAATATGGTGGAGATATACGTCGAAACCACAAATGCAACTGATATTCCAATATCATCAGTACCAGCTCGAAGAACAGAAAAAGCATGACCCTCTTAACCACATTCAAGTTATGGTGATGATAACCTTGTTGGACGGTTCGAGAAAACCTTGTTGAATTTAGTGAGGATGATGAAGATATTGTTCCATTGGTAGATGACACACCATTAGTTGATGAGTCTGATTTTTTTGAGGTTGCTTTAAAGGGATAAGGTTTGGATGTTGAGGTTGATGTATGGGAGGCAGCTGTTTCACTATGTCAAGATTGCAGAATGCTCCAAATGTTTGGGAAAGGACAGACCTTCAACCTAAAATGCCTCACCATGATTTGCCTAGATATCATCATAAAGTTGCAATGCATGACATTAACTACGATGATGTCGACAATGGTTTTCGTTCGAGTGACGTTTCTATATATTATTATTATATTTATATTATTATTATTATATACATAATAAATATAATTATTATTATTATATTTATATTATTCTACATGACCCAAATAAAATTACAACCCGAAGGCCTAAACACGAAGTTACAACCCGAAGCCCGATTACAATTAAATTCTAGCAGACTTGAATCCAATGAAGACATGGATTCGGCCCGAATAATGCTACAGGCCCAGAAGCGAACCCATGTTCAGCTAGGGTTTTCACGCAAAGTTCTAGCCCCGCACGAGTCCCAGCCGTCCGATCCAGAAGCCAGTCTAACGGACCACAGACGACCAGCAGAAACCCTAGGGTACTCATTATAACCCTAGGGCTATTCCAGCGCCGCCGTAGAGATGATGATACCCCGCCGATGAACTTACCAATCAGCAGCAACCACGTCCTCGCCAGATCTACAAGATCTGGGTGCATTTAATGCACCCAGCCTCTCCACCGCACATTTCACCTCCCCTTGGGTGAGTCACCAACGTAGCTTCAGTGACTCACTGGGGTTCATTCGTTTAATCGGTCTGAAATGGGACTCGAAAAACCCTATAACTAGGGCAAACCTGCGAAGAACAACAACGACAACAACAGAGAGAAAACCACCCAATACACAACAACCAAAGTCCAGGAAAATATAAAGCAGAGAGTGAGAGAAGCCTTACCCTCGTCGGAGCACTCACGCCATGTGCCGTCGGAGAAGATGAACCATCGAAGGTATAAAATTTTAGATCTACTGTTATTTAGGGTGTTTTAGGAGAAACGGTAGTCGAATTCGGTTTTAGGATGACTCGGGTTTCATTTATGTATGTTTGGGTAAAATCTGGCCACCGTGGGTGGTGACCGGTGGTGGCTATCGATGACGGCGCATGGTGGCTGGCCGGGAACGAATTCCCTTCGGCGAGGGAATTTCAGATAGATGTGAGAGCTCTCTCTAAAGAGAGAGAAATAGAGAAGAAAAATGGGAAGCTTTGGGGTTTTAGGCCTAATTCAGCCTATTTATATCTCTCCCCAAACGGTGTCGTTTCGAGGAGAGACCTACGTGTAATTTGTGATATGGGGAAATTAACCTGAGGTTCCTATAACCTTGTAACCTCATAATTTAGTCATTAAAAAACATGTTTCATGCATTTTAATTTTATTCATAAATTTTATTTATTTATATTATGGTCATTATCATGTATATATATATATATATGATTTAGGATAAATACCATGTTGATCCTTAGTATATTTAATAACTTACACTTTGACCTTTTTAACAACTTAGGGTAAATTACATTATTAGTACACTAGAATTATGTTAATTAATTTTAATATTATATGTTTACATCATTAATTATTATTTTAAGACTAATTATAATATTATTATAATTATATATATTATGATAATTTAAGTTATATAGTTTTAATATTAAATATTATAGTGTTAATAATATTTATATTAAGTATTTATTATTTATATTAAATTATTTTTAAATAAAAATATATATATCATTTACTGCAAAGACACTTAATTAATAAATATCGATACCAATTCTGGGCTTTGTGTGAATGCTAATTCTTTTCCATAAGTAACCGACTCCCGAACTCATTTTTCTAGTAAAGTAAACCCGAGTTGTATTATTTTAATATTATTCTTATGAATATGTATTAAAATAATATGATATTTTGGTGACCAATCTCACCATATAAAAGATTGGTGGCGACTCTACAACTTGGTGTTTTATCTGATTCTTTGAGGATAAACACTTACTTTTTTCGAGACTATTTACACCATCTAGGGTGTACTATTTGCACTCTCTATCGCCAGGGCAGAGAAACCAATTTATGTGTACAGATTTATTAATTATTCGTCTTTACAATAAATAATAAATTTGATTTGTTTTAATTTTGTTTTAATTATTTTTATTATTTTAATAACTTTTTGTTTTTATGTGTACATATTTTATTTTGGGTCATTAAAATAAAACAATAGGTTGTATATTATTTTATTTTTTTGTTATGCTTTTCCTCACCCAATGTGCACTGCATTCATGACATGAGCTAAAATCCTGCTTTTATACTATTTAAGTGAATGAGAAACTATTCCCTCGTGTGGTTTTCACATCCGTATGGGATTAGGGGTGTAAACGAGCCGAGTCGAGCTCGAGTATTGCTGAGCTCGACTCGAACTCGAAAACTTTAAACTTAGGCTCGACTCGACTCGACTCGAAAACTCATGAGCTAAAAATTATGAAGCTTAGCTCGAACTCGAAATATATTATTGAAACTCGACTCGAACTCGAAAAGGCTCGAACTCAAAAAAAATTCAGGAGCTCGATTGAAGCTCGATTCAAGCTCGAACTCAAAACTCGAATTTGAACCTGCAAAAATCTTATATTACATTTAAAATATATAAATAATTTTCCCTTTAATCAACCATCACCAATACATTATAATATGAATGTATGAACTATAAAAAATCTAAAAAATAAAAATACAATTACAAGAAATTTAGGATAATTAATATAAGCATTGATGGCTAATTTTTATCTTCCAAAACAATTCCAGTTGCAAAATGGAGAAGTCAAAATCTAGCTCACGGTAGAAAAAAGAATCAAGTCAAAAAAAAATTGCAAAAAAATGTTATGTTCAACAAAACTTGAAACAATGAACAAAACTAAATGTTTTCAATGTGAATAGTCATATTATAATGAAAGGTACCTCTTGTTGCTGCCTCTTCTTTTCGTCTCACTTCCTGCATGGAATAAGCTGATCAGCAAAAATTGTAGGGATCAAATGATTCATAGGGTGCCAAAGGGCAGAAAACAAATAATGTTCTTGCTATTTATTTATGAAACATATATGCATGAACAGAAATAAAACCTATGATCTGTAAAATAAGAATGAATTAGAAGTTCAAAATTTTCTTTCCACAATATACCTGCTCCCGCCTATTCAGTTCAGCCTCCTTAGCTTGGAGTTCATTCTCTTTCTTTTTCAAATCCTAGATTTATGCAGTAAAACCATAACAGTGAGATCAAATGCTTAACCAAAATAATCAAAACAGTATTCAGAGACAAGTTTTCAATCTTGGATAACCTGAGATGATCCTCCTGAAGCTGTATCCAGAGGAATGTTGATTGCTGCCTCACGACCGTAATTGAAACCATCAGGTTCTGGAGGTAGTGGTGAAAGCCTTGAGTTTGATGTGGGTGGAGCGCTTGGAACATTCTGAAAATTTATTCATGGTACACATTCAAGAAGCAAGTATTTAATATAAGAAAACTTTCCAGTTTTCCCAATGTTGGAGCAATGCTAAAAGGCCAAATTCGAGATGACCAAATCACAACAATATAGCAAGCAACCTATTCTTTCTGAAGTTATTCATCCTAAACCTCGACACACCCAAATTAACTGCTAAACCTATCAGCATCAGAAAAAGAATTTTGTTTCTAGGTTGATCACCACAATCTCACTATAGAATTTACCTTCAACAACATAGACTGCAAATCCTTGACATATTCCCTAGAAAGTAGAAACTATATAAACATGGGTTTCCTTTGGGTTTCATTTACCTTTGAAAATAGGCCTCTAAATTTAGAATGGTCAGATGCCTTCCCTCTCACAGCTGGATCCTGCTGGTAGAAATTATATAAAAGAAATAAACATATGAAAACTGAATTTGGCTAGCATTCGTATTATCGTATACTAAGTTATACTTATGAATCAAGTCATAAAACCCAGAAAATGCATCACAGTCTTCTTTTCAAGGATTCATCAAAGTGTAAAAGAACATATTACCTGTAGACGCCCGTTTTTGACCGGGCTTAAAAAATATTATAAATATTTATTATTATTATTATTATTATTATTAATATTAATACAAACAGAAGAATGTTGTGAGTTTTTTTTCTTCTAATTCTTGCACATCGATTTTTTGGTTTAGTCTTCATCCATCGAGATTTCAAGTATAAAAACAGAAATAAATAGGGATTAGGAGCTTACCGATTTGAGCCACCAGGCTTGAGACCGAAGCATTGAAGGTTGCTCGGGAAACCTTGCATAGGAGTTAGGGGTTAGTTCATCGGTTCAGATTCTAAAATAAAAATGAAATAGAAACGAGAGAGAGATATATTTACCTTTGTTGTGTTTGGATCTTCACCAGAGTAGAGAGGAGAGAAACGGTGTAGAGGATTTCAAAACTTTCGGTTGAAGAAGAAAAGGAAAGGTTTGAGTGATACATACCTTCACCATATGCGTTATCGACGAGTTGTGGGATCTTGGTGTACAGTCGTCGTTTGTGTGAGTGGAGAGTAGATGAGGTCTCGGCCAAAGAGAAAGGTTAAGAGAAAGGCAGCAACTTAAGGCTTCATAAGGGTTGTTTTCATTCGCATATGGAGGCCATTGGGGCGGTGGTTAAGCGTCGGTCATGGTGGCCGATGGTGCGAGTGGCGATGTGATTAGCCTTTGAGGCTCTCGGTTGTGGGAAGAAGAAGAAAAGAATAGAGGGAGAGAGCAAAACGGCTGAAGAGGATAGTTTTAGTTAATATTAGGTTTAGTTTATAATTAGGTTTCTATATATTAAATGTAGGGTAAATAACTCTCATACCCCTAAACTTAGCCGTACATTTACTTTAGTCACTAGTAAGGACTTTTTTTTAATTTATCAATTTATATTTGTCTCGATTTTATTATTTTTTCAATTTTAGTTTTAGTTGTAATTTTTGGGTTATTTAAGTTTAAGTCCCTTATATTTATGTATTCTTTTTATTTTAAACACTATTTTAACTCTTGATTTGTGTGTTTAATTTTCACTTTATTTAAATTTAGTTTTTAGTTACATTTGTGAACTCTAAACTCTACCCCTTAAATCCTAAATCCTATTACATAATTAGAATGAATGAGATGGCTTAGTGAAAGGAGAGAAAGTAAACTTGTTTTTGTTTTGCTTTCTGAAGAACAAAAATCTAATAAGAAGCTTCAGTCTTTTTGATTTCTACTCCTTTTCTCTTCTCAGTCTTCTCTTTATTTACTGCTTTGATTTTCCAACTCTGCAATTATTACTTTTTTTTTTCAGAGTAGAATCTAGTAAAGCATATATATATGTCTTGTTTTACTTTATATGGTACAAGTTAGTAGTAGGGATGATCATTTTCTCTCAAATATGATTTGATGTCATTAATTTTGTTAATTAAGATATTAATGTAAGTCTAAATGAATTTTTTCTTTCTTAATTCTTTATAAAATCGGTTACACTCTATTTTGATATTTTTTAAAATTATTAATATTTAAATTGAATCATATTTTTTTTTATTTTTTTTTATTATATTTATTTTCAAATAAAAAATTAGTTATGAGGTAAGTACAATATAGTATATTGATATTAAATTCTCAAATATGATATTTAAACCTGAAACCTCAAAATATAACAACAATTTAAAAATTATTTATTAAAAATATTATCATTAGAAATATATTAAATATTTGTCTTTAGATAAATAAGTTTTTATTAATTTAAAATAAATATAAGAATATTTATTCAAAAATAATTTTTAACCATTTTCAATTTTTATATTGTTTGGATGTTTTTTCTTATTTTTTATTTTATTTTTTTACGTTGTCAAGTACATGTGCAGTAAAAAGTTAAAAAAGAAAGAAAAAAATCAAATAAACACGTGTAATCTAACATATGGTTAATTAAATGAGCTTTTATTTTTCTTTTAGTAATATACAATGTAACAATTGGACTTGGGCTGATTAATTAAAAAAAATAAAATTTGAGGGTAGTTGTATTATAGAATTTTTAATATATTTTTAATATTTTATAATTATCAATAATGTATTTTTAATATATTTTTAATAAAGTAATTTTAAAAAATCTAAAATTATAATATAACATTTTTTCGAGCTGCTCACGAGCTTTTCGAGTCGAATATCGAGTAGCTCGTTTCGGCTCGTTAAGAAATCGAGTCGAGTCCATTCGATATGAGTATTTATCGAGCCTTGATCGAGTCGATCTCGAGTAGTTCGCGATCTGTCTCATCTCATTTACAGCCCTATATGGGATAGGGGACCATTCTTTGAGCTCACACCTTATGTTCCTTGTGTGGTTTTCACCTCCGTATGGACATAAGGAAGTGTGTTCCTTCGAATTGAACTTAATCTGAAAGTTTGTAATGGACTAGGATTACGGGTTTGGCAATCCAAGGGGACACCAACAAAGGACAATTTGTTGACCCTTTTTACCCTAGAGCCAAAACCTAACATATAGTGAAACTTAGAACTTAGGTTCAGACGAAACATATACTGATTAGGTTTTGTAAGATTTAGCACACAAGGAAAAACATGTTGAGTCTTTTATTATTATTTTTGAACAAATGCATGCGAACTAGAAATCATGTGGTTAGGTTTATTGTCTAAATAAAATTAGGCTTTAATTATTTTTTAATTTTATGTTCCATTCTCGTTTCTGCATTTTACATTCTCATATTATGGTGTTGATTCATGATTGATTTCATATAGAGAGCTGGAAATATGGAACAAAGAGTCCAATATGAAGTAGAAGATAATATAGTCGTTCTAATGTGGTCTGAGCAGACTCAACTTGTCAAGGGAAATAGTCTATCACCTGGATACATGTCAGATCTGGTCAAATATACACATATCAACGTTCGCCAAAATAACCTTGGTGAGTTAAAAAAAATCTGGGAGAAATGGGAAGCTGTGAACAAGCAACTATTTCATTAGTTATATGGCAACATTGCTTATCTTTTAAACATCCCTATTGACAGACATCTGTTCAGAGCCCTATCACAGTTTTGGAACCCTGCTTATAATTGCTTCACTTTTGGCAAGGTATATTTGACACCCACTATAGAAGAATATCGAGCTCTTATCTGCTGTCCAAGAATCTATGAAGACAGGGTATATATCAAGTCACCTAACACTGCTCCTTTCAAGAAGAAAGTGCTCTTATTGACTGGGATGAGTGAATAATGGGCTACAAGACATATCAAGAAAAAGGGTGATAGTGAATGCATTACTTGGGCTGCCTTGAAAGAACTAATCTACCACCATCCTGACAAAAGGAAGCAAGTTGATATGTTGGCTTTAGGAATTTATGAATTAATCATTTTCCCGAAGATTATGGGGCATGTGGATATATCAACCGTAGACATGTTTGCAAAATTGAACAAGAATGTAGATCCAGATCCTACCATATTAGCCGAAACATTTCGTTCCTTGAATTCCTACAGACGCGAGGGAGAGGAACGTTTTATAGGATGTGCACATTTATTATTGGTATGGATTTTGAACCATTTTAAACATGAAGAAAGAGCTCCTGGAAGAGTATTTCTAGAAGGCTTCTCACCTCTACAAGATTTCATTTCTCGCAAATGGCCTGGAGGTTATGATGAAGGAAAATGGATGAACATCTTTCGAAACCTTGAAGATAAAGACATATTATGGAGAACTTTATGGAATACTTCTTCAAACATAATGTATAAGTGTGGAGAACACGATTGGGTTCCCTTACCTGGTATATGGGGTTCTGTAAGATATACACCTTTGATGGTCTCCAGACAATACGAATCAAGGCAGTTTATTCCCGCAACATCTGGTTTATCCGAATCAGAATTTGCATTTAGAAGTGATCAGTACAAGGAAAAGATCAGAAAAGTTGTTGAGGCCTGGAAATGGATTCATCGAGTAAATTTATTTACTTTTAGTCAAGCTCTCACCTGAATACGAACAATGGAGAATCAATCGCGTCAACGACAACATTCCAGTGGTTAACTGCGAGAATGTTCAACCCATCAAAGAACATTTAAGAATTATATCATCTCCATTGGAATTGGCGAAACAAGATTTTGAGATCGAAAGAAAGCAGTGGAGAAAGACTCTACAAAAGCTGGAAGAAAAAGTCTACCACAAGGAAATTGAGATAGATATCTATAAAGGAAGAGCATATCAAGTTAGCAAGGTTGAAAAACAGCTCATGATAGATTTCAACGATTTCCAGTCAACCTATCAACAGGTGGTAAAGACTCAGATTGCTGAAGGATCAAGCAAACAAGAGTTGACATACCTGAAAAGAAAAGATGAAAAAGGTAAATATGAGCTCAAACAAAGAAAACACTAGACCAAGATGCTTGCTAAAGAAAATGAGACATTGGAGCAAAGACTATCGGAAAATCAAGCTCAAAACCAGAGACAAAAAAGCAAGATTGAAAGGTTGGAAACTGCACTGCAAAGTCAAGAAAGTATCTCGGAAGCTAAGAATCTAAGAAAGCAAGTGAATGAGCTGGAAATCAAAGTCCAAGATCTTCAGAGAAGGGAGAATTAACTCCCTATTGTTCCGTATGAAGGAATTTTGCAATGGCGATACCGTAGGGAACGCGCTTAATGGAAGGTCAAACAAAGAGATGACCTCATTACAAAATATCTAGAGTAAGCTCAGGGAGTGGCACAATATCTAGTGGACTTGGCATACGAAGCTAACACTTTGAGTGAGGAATTGGATCCAGAAACCGAAGAAGCTCATAAGGTCTTTGAGTTACTTGAACACATACAACAGTTAGAAGAAACTGCTTAGATATATATGTAGCTTGTACTATGTTCTAAAAGCTTTGTAATAAGACGTTGTTTTAATATAAAAGTTGTTCTAAAGAAATTATCTTGATATCAACACCTTGCATTTACATATTGAGCATGAACATTTTGACATTATATTTTTCATCCACATTCATTAAAAAGGTTTTTTCTTCTTTTTCGAAGAATACTGGACCCCTAAACATCCATATAATACCAGAAAAATGGCAATGGACGATAAGGTCACTCAAATTGAAAGGAATAAGCTTGAGATGCAAGAGAATTTCAAGAAAATCCAGGATGAAATGCATGAACAGTTAATGAAATCCCTGAATGAGATGATGGAAAAATTCGCAAGTATGTTACAAAGAAGAAACATGGATCAAGCAAATGCCCCAGCTGTTAGTACTTTCACTGAAGATCCTTTATATCCTCCAGGCTTCACACCAAGAGCAGATCGTATGAAAACTAAAGTAACTGATGAGCCTTTATACCCCCTGATCATGCAACCTCTCACGATAAAGTCCAGTCAGGGGCATTTACTCAAACAAGAAGGGTAAACATAAATTTACCTAGTGCTTCTATAAACCAACAACAAGTTGAGAATGTTCCAGATTTTGATCAAGAAGCAAAGAAAAGGTCAAAAAAAAAACAACTGGAACAACTAATGGAAGAAGTTAGGGAAATAAATGAATGCTCTAAT